ACGAATGTTCACAGCAGCCAAAACGTCTGACAGCCCGAACGCCCATCAGCGGACGAACGGGAGACAGGACACGGAATGTCCACGCAGTGGGGGTCACACGGAGCCATACACGGGGACGGGGGAGTCCAACAAATGCCACGACATGGACACACCCTGAAAACGGGACGGTGGGGGAAGGGAGCCAGCCCCGAGGGTCACAGAGCGTGTGATTCCACTTCTAGGAGCCACCTGGAGCACCAGGTCCACAGAGGGAGACAGCAGCCTGGTGGTCCCCAGGGCGGGGCGGAGGGGAACGGGAGCGGCTATGTAGGGGTCTCGGCACCCGCACGGGGCGACCAGGTGCTCTGGAACGAGGTGCTAGTGATGGGCTGCCTGCTGTGAATGCACAGAGAGCCAGTTGAAAAAGCCCCTCTCGGGGCTGAAATGGTGAGGTTTGTGCCCATAAACTCCACTTACAGGAGAAGATACCATCAATCAGGTAGCAACTCCACACCTCTCAGCTAACGCGCGAACAGGCTGACCCGGCCTTCGCACGGGACCGGCCCTGGCCAGACAGGCCTGGGTTGCGGGCGATGTCCGCAGGCCGTGCCCCGGCCAAGTGCCTGCACAGCCAAGTGGAGCAACAGAGCTTCGGAGCCATGGGCTGTGTTCTCATCTCTGCTGTGGGGCCACCAACCCAGGGGTTGGGGACAGAGTGGAGGAGGCGGCCACGGGGGGGCAGACTCTCGGCACAAAAGCCGAGGAGTGGGAGCTCAGCTACTGCCATCGAGGGGCAGGCCGGGCACCAGACCCCACAGGACGAGCGCTGGGCCGCGACACAGACGCTCTCTCCTCTGCCGGCCACGGCTCCGAGGGCCTTGGCTTTGAGGGGCGCACGCGCCTACTCACACCGAAACCTGCCCTCGCTGCAGACGTGTGTGTTACAGCCCAGTTATCTCAGGTCCGCCCAGGTACTAGAGATGGTCAGGGGTTCATTTCCCCCTCTTTCTCCTTTTCCAGTCACGGCTGAAACATTTTTTTAAGGCTTTATTTATTTATTTTTAGAGAGAGGGGAAAGGAGGGACAAAGAGAGGGAGAGAAACACCAATGTGTGGGTGACTCTCTCAGCAGCCTCTTGAAAACAGCCCCAGGTGGGCAGACCACTCTGCCCCCCAAGTCTGCCCCTGGCTGGCACAGAGGGGACCTCCACGGGCACCAATGTCACCACCCGCCACCCAGGAGCACCAGCTCAGGGTGCAGTAGGCCGGCTGGACCTCAAAGGACTCTAGCGCCTCCAGGGTAGGAAAAAACGTGCAGACAATCTGGAGTGGCCCTGGCCGGAGATGCCAACCAGACAGGAGCAGGCTGGCAGCGACCCTGCACCTGCACACAGACAGAACAAGCCCCGCTGGGAGCGCGGGGCTTCCCGAGCGCGTGCCTCTCAGTCCCTGGGCCGCCCGCCGGTGCTGCAAGGCAGTGCCATCTGCCCCAGGGATGGCCCGCTTCCTCCCAGGCTTCAGTTTCTGGGCGGGGTGAAGAAAGATGCCAAAGGTGGTCACTCCTTTGGTAACAACCAAAACCCCAGACAAAGTAAAAATTATACCTCTCTGCAGAGCAGGGCAAAGAGAATGGACACAGAAGCCTTGATGAACTTAGCTTCAACAGAAATAAGCTTTTCATCTGAGAGCAGGGATCTAGGACGGCTGCCCACACAGGACCTGCACCTGGTCTGGGCCCGCACAGAAGCCGGGGACAGATGGAGGCACTTCCAGGGGCGGTGGGGACTCGGCCAAGTTCTGCAAGGCTGTGTGGTCTGGCCGGGAAGACTGGCATCTGGAAGAGCCCAGAGGCAGGGGCAGACCACTGAGACCCCCAGCTCTTCCCCTGCCATCACCCCCAACCGCTCACCCCGCGGCTGGGGACAAGGGCTTGTCGGGGTCGGGGGGACACAGAGAAAAGCGGTGCAGCTCTGCAGGTTCTGGAGACCTGCCGCTCAGTCCAAAGGCACCTGAACGCGCCTGCACCTTCAGCCCCTCTCGTCCAACTCGACTGCGAACAAAGTTAAGAGTCACCAATGTGTGACGAGGGAGGCTGGGTTAACCCAGGGCAACCCCACAGGGTGGCCTTGGGACCCCACCCAAGCACAACTCAACACTAGAAGAAATCTGAATCATCGGCTCCCCCTCCTGAACGCCAGAGAGAGGAAAGGCGTCCACTCTGGGAGGTAAGACAGCCACACCCTGGTGTCCATGCACAATGTCCACAAATCACCTTGAAAACTCACATTGCATGCAAGAAAGCAAAAACAAACAAACAAACAAAAAACCCCACATTTAAGAAAAAAGCAGTTTTTAGAAAGAGGTTTGCAGGTGACTCACTTGTTGGAATAATCATGCAAGGGCTTTAAAACAACTCTTACTGATACATTAAATCATTTACTGAAAAGGAACCTAGTGGAATTCTAGAGCCAAAACACTACACTCTTTGAAAGTTAAAAATCACTAAATAAAATTAACACTGAATGGGAAGCTGCCCAAGAAAGGGTCAGTAAAGTTGAAAGCTGGTTAACAGAAATTATTAAAAGTAAAAATGAAAGCAAAAAATTAGAAAAAAGAAGGACGTCAATAACCTCTGGGAAAGTGTCACAAAATCTACTATACAAGAGATTGAAGTCCCAGAAAGAATGAAGACAAAGAATTGAGGGGAAAAAAGAAGAAATAGTGACTAAAACTGTGAAAATTATGAACCCACAGATCTGAGGATGGAATCCAAGAAACGCACCAACTCTCTAGTAGGATTATGGAAAGAAAACCACACTGAGGCATATTATACTAAAATTTCTGAAAACCAAAGGTAAAGAGAAAATTTAGAAAGCATTCAGAAAGAAAACACACATTAAATACAGAGTGAAATCCATGTGAATGAACATTAACATCTCACTACAAATAGTGCAACTCTGAATGCAGTGAATAATGTCTTTAAAGTGTGGAAAAGAAAAACCGAAACAAAACCCGTCAGCCCAGAACCTCACATCCAGTGAATACGTCACTCAAACATGAGGGTGAGGCTGAGGGTGTTTTCGGGCCCGTGAAGCCCAAGATACGTTGCCTGAGCTGCTAAAACACAGACAGAAAGACCTTAAGGCCAAACGATGCCAAATGAGAATTCAGACGCACAGAAAGGAACGAAAAGTGCCAGAAAGGATGATACAGTGAATGTAAACGAGGCCGGGTTCCTCTCTTCTTAATTATTTGAAAGACTACTGATTATTTTTGAAAGCAGGGCTTATAAAAATGGATTGAAGGGTTTGTAAAACACAGGGTGGGGCGAAAGCAGGCTTACAGTTGTTCGTATGAGAAATAACCCAGTAATAAACAACACATGGATGAACTCTGTTCTGCGCGCTCACAACCGCACACCTGCTTCTGCCCACCCTGCGTGTGGAAGTCGAATACCTGACCCGACAGCAAACGGTGGGGAGGGGTGAGCAGAATTACTGCTGTGAGTTCTCGCGTGTGGAGTGGCATCACTGATTCAAGGCTGAGAGGGGACGGTTACTTTTCTCTGTACACACAGAAGCTCAAAGAGGCTCTTTGACCAAGGTAACGAAGCAAGTTAGTGGCCAAGCTCAGCCTCAGAAACAAGGTCTGCAGATTCTAATCTACTGCTTTTAAAGCAAAGTTAGGATTAAGTTAAATCTCTTACATGGATGCAAAGCTTTATCTAACTACATAAATTTTATTCCTTAGTGTACAAGGTTTGGGCTCATTTTATTTATCTAAAGTACCCTTATTTCCCGGTTGGGTGGCATATTGTTTATAAAATGCACAGGGAAAGCGGAAATGCGCACGGTCTCCCTTCCCTGTGCAGTTTCTCTCTAAGGCGACTTCCCGCCCCCGTTCTCCCCACTGACCGAGTTTGGTTATCGCTCTCCTTGTCCGTCAGCACAAATGAAGGCAGTATACAGATGATGTATTGTAGAACTGCATGCTTGATACTTATTTAACTAACCTAATCATCCCAATAAATTTAAAAAATTAAAAAACCACTAGCCATACGAACACACACACACAGAACGGTGAAGAGAAGCGATCTGGGAGGGAAGCTCGTTCACGCAGGCGGGGTGAAACGTGCTGGGAGCCCAGGAAGAGTCAGAAAATCGCAGGCCTTCGTTCTCCACTGCCTGTAGGATGAGCTTTCCCCTCTTGGTTTGCATCTTGAGGGGCTTGCCTAGAATGGGGGTTTTAACATCCTGTCTCATCAAAGTCAGAGTTTAGCCCGAAACGGGGTGCCCTTCAGGGATCACAGAGCAAGTGTGAGTGAAATGCCACCGTCCTGCTGCCCTTCTCCCGATGCCAAAGAGCTGGGCAGGACGGCCAACAGGGGCAGCTCCAGAACAAAGAACACAGCAGAGCCACTCTGATCTGCCCGCAGCTTCGCAGGGGCTGCGAGGAATCTCGTGAAACCCCACAAGAAAAAGCAGCTGGGTCTCTTATCCACCCACAATGAGTCAAGACTCCCCGAGGCCCGGGCTTCTGGGGCAAACAATTGTAAATGCCTGCCCCAAGCCTGAGGAAAAGCTGCTCCTCCCGGTCTTGGCCAGCGAAGCACCTCCTGGGCGGATCCCTGAGAGGCAGCGTGGCCTCAAAAACAGGTCAGCCCTCCTGGCCAGGACAGCAGACAGAATCAGGAGGAAACGGGGGGACAGTTTTCCACTGTGTCGGTGAACTTCACCCAAGGACTGGGGTTTGGGCAAGCCCCACTGCACAGAAGACCAAGGGATAGGGCCACAGGGCTTTCCTGGTTCACCGTGGTTCACAAGGCAGAGCGTCACTCCACAAGACTGCGGCGCAGGAGTGCGAGTCGGCGACTTCCAGTCGAGGGGAGGGCCAGGTATTGGGGGGCGGAGCTTCGGTTTGGGAGGAGGACAGAAGCTCTGGGGGTGGATGGCAGTGACAGCAGCACCAAATGTGTGTGCACTCCAGTGCCACTAAACCGCACAGTTAAAAACGGCTACGCGGGCCTCCTACAGAGGCGTGTCTGTGGTCCCGTCCCGTCCTCAGACACAGAGGACGCGGAGGCGAGGAGACGTGTACTTGGAGAAGCCCGGGGCCAGCGAGCTCCCTGCAGGCTCAAGGTCAGTCTTCCCACACAGGAAAAAAGAGGCTCAGTGGGAAATGTTCGGTGCACTTTACCAGTTTTTCAAAGAGAAAACAACTGAGTGAGTGAGTTCATCGGTCGCTGGCCCTGCCTGTCTTGGGGAGATCGACAGGGGGTCACTGCTGTTCTCGGAGTCCGGCCAGCTTTGCAGCCCCCCTCCCATGCAGCACCCCCCCCCCGCCCCGTGCAGCCCCCCCACCCCAGCTCTCTGAGCCTCGTGGCGCAGGGCACAGAGCGCCAAGTACACTCTGGCCATGCAAACCTCCACACCGGTGAGGGGACCGTCCTTCCAACCCATCAAAACACCCAGCGAAAATGGTGTAAATTTTCCTATGGCTGGGACCTACTTCTGTTTAATACTTCCCATAGGAAGTTCTGGGCGCCTCTGGCAGCCGGGACGGACGACTGATCGGGAGGAAAGCGGGACCAAAACAAAAAGAGAGGAAGGTTTGGGTGGTGGTGGTGGTGGTGGTGGTGGGTGTGGGTGACACTCAACAAAACCAAATGACTCGAACTCGGACCACTTCCTCGAAGAGCAAGTGGCTGGAGATGAGTCCGTGGGCCTGGGGAGGAAGGACCGGTCTTCAGGCAGCTCCTGCATTTCCGGAGCTGGAGGTGGCCTCCCCCGGCACGTTCGGTCCTGTTGGAAAACGGTGCCCTGTGAGAACGCGCCTCGCGGCAAGAGTTGGGGCTTCTCCGTTTCCGCTCCGCCCTCTCTTCTCAGCCAGTGGGACTCGAGCCACCTGCTCTGGGAACCCAGACAGCAGCGCCCTGTGGGCACTGATAGCGGCAGATTGTGTTTCCCCGCGGCCATTGGCTGCCTGCTGGGTCCCCGGCAGGTTTATTTTTTCCCTTTTCCTTCTTGTGGTTCCTACAATAGAAATAACCATTTTTTTTAATGGAAAGGAACCCACTCCCTTTCCATAATCTCAGCTACAGATACGCTTTTGAGTCCGCAGGCTGCATTTGTTTGCTGACGGCTAATTTGGAGAGCCGAGTAATTAACCCACGACTGGTCGGAGGCCGTTCCACGCCCGCAGCTCTGCGGTGCCGCCGTGGCATCGGCTTCGCGATAATGAAGCCTTTCAGAGACCAGGCCGTCCGCACAAAGACGCACTTGAAGCCAGTGGCCTGGCGGACTGTAAGCGGACCATTTCTATTCTTTCCTTGGACAAAATAGTCCTCTTGATCTCTGGGCTGGAACTATTTTTATTTTAGTTCAGTTCTTTTTTTGTTTTTTAACTTGGTGGGCAAGCCTTTCACTTATATTTTGATCCACTACTTAATCTGTTGCCTTGTTTTCCCCAAAAGGCAAGCAAGAGACACCGTCCCCCGCAGGCAGCCACCGGCCGCCCCTCCAGCAGACTTACCGCCCCCCTTCTGGACGAGCAGCGACTGAGTCTGAGGCAAAACAGGGGCCCGCTGCTGGGGTCGCCTTTCCTGCAGGAACAGCTGATGTCCCTGAGCCCAGACGGTCACACCTGCAATCAGCAACCAAACAAGGACGCCTCCTTGCTTGGCAAGTGGGAACCCCAGGACGAGGAGGACAGCGCCGCCCCTCTCAAGCTTTCAGCAGAGAAACGGACTAGGAGCTTTTGTTTTCTATTTGATACATCGGTGGCTTTTAATGGGTCCACCAAATGTCGACAGAGTGCTTGCTACACAACAGACACCAAGGCGGTGGGGGTCTTGATCCGCTGTCCCCGCCTGAGCCTGTGACCCACTACATGCATGTTAATGTGCACACAAGCGATCACATACGTGCATGCACATCACAACCCCACAAGCTCAAACTAAATAACAGGTGAGAAATAGCAACCAGCCACACAGCGACTTCACTTGTGAACAAGTTTTCCATAGTCAACTAATTTCAAAACCGTATTTAATTTTAAAAACTATTTCAATTTTTCCAAAAATCAGAATGAATGCGATGTGCATGATAAAGGCACGTTCAGGTAACATGATAAAGCCTCCGTGGGCTTCACAGCAGCCGGGGAGAGCTGGCCAGAGGCGAGGGGCTGAGGGCGCCCCCTCGGAAGCTGCGATCCCGGCGCCCAGACCGCCCAGAACGCACAAAGGGTGTGTGTTCAGAACCCGCTGCGCCCCGGCGGACCCTTCGCTTCTGCGCCCTCCCCTCCCAGGTCGGCCTTGACCACAAGAGGACAACCCCCGTGCCAGCCTCAGAGGCCTGGCCGTTCTGCTGCCTCTGTTCCTTATGGAACAGCGTTCCGGCCCCTTTTCTGTTCATCGCCCCTCGGTTTGTGCCTCGTGAACCTGGGCGCCCCGAGGGAAAACACAGGGCAGATGTGCTGTAACAGGGACCGAGTGGGGGATCCGGCCGCCCCGCTCCGGTTTGGTTCTTAGATGAGTGTGGCTCATCGGCCCTCCCTGAGCAGTGGCTTGTCCTCACCCCCCCCACAAGAGCCCCTGGTCCTCTCCGGTCATCGGTGCCACTGCCTTCAACAGGCACCTGTGCAGGTAGCTGTCCAGGCCCCGCATGAGTATTTGTTAAATGCAGTGCGCTCCTCCCTTCCCGCAGAACAGCGAGCCACGACTGTCACCTGTCTTAGTTACTGTCCCTCCTCCCAGCTCGGTGCGGGCTCGAAGGGTCGAGCTGCCTTTGATTGTAGAGGACAGAGGTGAGAAAGTGGAGGAAGGGTGGACTGCATCCGAGGAACTACCCCAAAACCACGTCAGCCCCCACGGGTGGGTGGCTTGTTCCACCGGCTACACCGTCCGACCACAGCACAACTTTCTATTTTGTCAAGGGAGGCACCACACATTATGCCTTTAATGCTTCACTGAAATAACGACACTCTCAAAGACCCTCCAAGCAAGAATATTGCGTAGTTCCCACCTGCAGGTTAATATTATACGTCACATAAAGTGTCAATATTCTAGGACCCAGGACTCCTACGCACCAACTCCTTATTTCTCACAAAGTATCCGCATGCAGGCGATGGAGTAACGTTTAGGTGACATCAAAGCCCCAGGAGAGACGAGGGACCAAGCAGAGTGTCACAGCTACAAGGGTGGGTGGGACCGGCCCGCAGCCAGTCACGCCCTGTCTGTCCTCATGTCCCGCGGCTGCCTTGCCATCTCCTTCAGGGTTCTGTGTGGATGACACTGTTTTCTGAGTTGCCTCAGACAGTCTCATTTCTAAAGTCTGGAGAACTGTGTCCAATTCAATATTCCCTGTTCGGCGTGTGGCCCTTGGGCCCGATCTGAAGTAACTGGGCCTTTGATGAGCCTGTAATGCCCCGGGCCCCGCGGAGAAGCGTGACTCCTGCTCCATGGTGAAGGGCGGGGGGCCCGGCCCACGGCCGAGCTGCCGCTGTCCGTCTCTGGAGACTTCCCAGCGGGATCACGGGGCCACTTGGAACTCCCAGGGCGGAGAGCAGACCACCGCTCTGGCCACAGGAGTCTCATCAGGGCGGAACTCTGCCTTCTTGACAGAATCATTTGTATAATTTGGATTTTTTTTCAAAACCAGAACAACAGATAATAGAAATCAAAGCTCTGAAATTCACAGTGAATTATGGAAATGTATTTCTCTTCCTCGAGATGTGTAATCCAATTCAGTATTCTTATGCCTCAACAAAACCCTTACTATTATTGGCTGAGAGCATGAGTTTATAATCATTTTGGAAAATTCTGGGGCTCTCCTCCATGGAATTTCCTCGCTCTTCAATACTATCCTTCCCTCGGGGGACTGATCACTCGCTCACACATCTAGAAAGTAAATCCCGTGCCACTAACAGGGAAAGGCCGCCTCCCATTCACGGCACCAGCACAGCTTCTTTCTTTCTCTCTCTCTCTTTTTTAAACCAAGGCGAGCATTTGGAAACAGAATACTTTAAAAGGAAAAGACCAGAACTTGTTTTCTAATGAGTGGAGAACAAGAGGCACCATTGTAGCCCAAAGCAAGGGTCTTACATATGATTCCAGGCAAAAAAACCTCCATAGCAGACTCTCACGTGTAAGCTTGAGATTTAGATTAAATACTCTTAGGTTCCAGAGGGATTCCAATTTCCTTCTTAACGTGTGTATCTATTTCCAAATTTAATCCTCACTTTTTTTAAGACCTGGGTGTTCTGATAAATTAAAGACGCTGCTAGCAATCGTCTGGACTGGAAGTGGCCACGCAGAAAGCTCTTCCCAGCATCCTCTGGGTTCGGGGGGCAGGACCCCGTCAGCCTCGCAGAGAGTGTGGGCTGGCTTAGCTCATCTTCAAAAGCTGCAGGCGCAAACGGCAGCCACGCCGGAGGGAGGGCACTTGGGCTGTGTGATCGCGTGTCCTGTCACGTCTCCGGGACACGCATGTCGGCTCCACCTGTGCTGACCGGCACCGGCCGCACTGGGGCCCGGAGACGAGGGCAGAGGGCCCAGTGCAGGAGCGGCCAAGTGCACTGCCCACCCAGGAGCAGGGGTGGTGTTGGGAACAGGGACACCTAACTTTCGGGGACGGGTCATTTCACGAACACACGGTCTTCAACACTTGACGAATGTCTGCCTTCATTCCCGACCACGGACTCAGGGAGATACAGGACTCTCTCTAGTTCACGGGGAGAGGAGCCCAACGCAAAGAAGTTTAGCTCCACTCCGAGCACAGGCAGTTAGCCGTGGAGGGGCGGGGGGGGGGTTACAGTATTTGGATACGGTGGGAGGCACGCGGGTCGCTGTAATGCTGGGCAGCCACGTTTTTAAAGTAAACCAACACAGGTGAGGTGAATGATCCCCTTTAGCTGGATGTATCCTGAATGCGATCATTCCAACAGCGAGACACAGACAGCTGAGCTACTTCGCGTTTGTGAACTACTTCTTCGTCACGCACTGCATACTTCACACTCAGCATGTTTCCGTTTGAGTCGACCAGGTTTCACTTGCTTCACGTCCAAGAGTCTCGAGTCAGCTGCCCGAGCGTTCTCCCTTCACTGAGGGGGCGGCCCGCCCCGCAGTGTGGACCGGGGGCACCTCCTGAGTGTGCTGGGGGCT